CCCCGGGGGACATTCGGCCATGTCTGCGGGAATTCCTGGGTCATAGTTGGTGTCCCGCCCTCTGGGAGGACCAGGGATCACAGACCCAGGCCGGCCCACAGCACAGGACGAGCCCACCCAGGGCAGCAGCGCCGGCTGAGAACCCCGGCCTGGACCTCGGCAGGCCCTCAGCCCCGTCCCCCTTGTGGCGTTCTGTGCCCCTTCCTGACACTCAGAGCAGCCCGTAGTGTCGGGTCATCGGGAAAGGCATGACGCGTTTTTGCATAGAAAAATATATCAGGGCTTTTCCGACGACCCGACAGCTGGACGATTTTTCTTATGTTTAATTCCTCTTGCCGTCCTCCTGCCTTCCCCTGAATATCGCCTGCTGGCCGCGCGTGCCCGCACCGCTGTCCCGTGGCGCCCGTAGCCGTCCCTGTACGTGCGTGAACGGGACCTGTGAGGAGCGCTGACTCTGTAGCTCCAACTCACCAGACCTGCCGAGCAGCACGAATATAACTAGCTGCAGGTGGGTTGTTTCCTATAAACTCAAGTAACATGAGGGCCAGCCACCTGCCCAGGGCGTCACGTGAAAGGAATGACCTTCCCGGAGGTTTCGCGACGTCTCTATTCCACGTGCAACTCGGTCTCCAGCTGCTGGAAAGGAACTGAGGCCAAGAGACCACAAGCCAATCACATAATCTATAAAATGTCACCATTTTTATTTCGTCATTGTAAAGAGGTTGTAACAAAATTACCACAGCTTATTCCAAAAGAAAGTTTTTAATACAAGAGCTATTAGAAAATTAAACACATTTGTTTAAAAATCCTATCGTGTAAACCTGAACGCAAGAGGGTCGTTAAGATAGTCCAACTCGTTCCGGGGGTGGGGGGGGCTCTGAGGGCCCCAGGCTGCACAGAGACGGCCGCCGTGCCCTCGGCTCTGGCCACAAGGCCTTCTTACCCCTCGAGTGGCCCGCCAGGGTCCTGTCTCACTCTGAGTAATGTGGCCAGGTCGGGAACCCCCAGCCAGGGACTGCCATCCTCCGGCATTCCGAGGCTCGCTCTGAGAAGGCGGCATCAGCGAGTTAGGCCAGTCCCACCCGGCGAGGCCAGGGCTGAGAGGCGAGGCTGCAGGGGTGAGGACCTTCGTTCTAGGGTGAATCCCAGGTAAAACTCGGACCTGGCTCCCCCACCGTCCCTCCGGACACCCGTGGTCGCCGAGCTCTTCAGAGCACTCAGCGACTGCCCACCGGTGTGCAGCCTGCACTGGGTCCTTCCGCGTCCTGGGTTTCTGCAAGGACACCCATTTGTCCTGCATCGAGGTGAAAGGAAAGGGAGCGGAGCTGGGCAGGTTTGAGGGCGGTGGTGGCCCGAGCCGGTCCACACGTGGCTCTCCCACTGGGCTGGGAACACCTCCATGCACTGCGAGGTGCAGGACAGCGGAAACCCTGGGCCCAGGACACGGTGACTCAAGCACCATCCCCCAGTGGGAGGCTATCGGCTCAGCCATCTTTCCGAGAAACTGATTTCTTCCTTCCTTTTTCTGACAGACAGTGGGATGAGGCCCATCCATCCTGGTGGATTGGGGACAAGAGCAAGGGCTACATGACAGAGTCCAGGGCTCCGGCATCGGGCCCACAGCATGGCAATGGCTCGTGCACTATACAGACACTGGTTGGGCGCATTCCTGGCCCGGGACATGAACTGTGGGAACTGCATGAACTGGTTGTTCAGAGCCAGGAGACCCACGATGTGACCCCTCACTCCATCAGTCGAGGACCTGACTTCCAGCTTAGAAACACCGGCAAGACTGTTAGGGAAACGTTAAACGAAACTTTTGGCACAAAATCCTTAGATAAACCGACGGTGCTGCCATTGAGCAGAATGGGCAGAGGCCGGCCGGGCAGCCAGGCCCTCCCACAAGCGTTAATGACACATGCGCAGTCTGGGAAACGTCGTTGTAACAGCGCTTGCTCACTAGCAGCACCTGCCTTCCAGAAGTCTGTGCCTGCCACATCAGCTCCCAGGCTGGGGAGGAAGCCCAGCATGCCTGGCCTTGTCCCGAGTGAAACAAGGAGAAGTCACCAGTTATTGCCTCTGGGGTCGGAACTCTGGGGTCAGAACTCGGGATGAGGTGCACCATCCGGGATGAGGTGCATGCATCCGGGCCACTCTGACGGGCAGGGGAGCCCTGGGCAGGGTCCTTCTCAGGCAGGTCCTCGGGGCTGAGCATCCAGCCCTTTCCTCGCCACCAGTTGCATGCCAAGGTCAGAGGATGATTCTGGAGTGGAGGCTCCGCCTGGTGCTGGAAGGCTGTGCTTGTACAGAGAAGCCAGGCTGGGAAGGAAGGATTCAGATTCCCAGGGGGCCCAGAGGGCAGGCCTGGCACTCACAGGAGGGGTGGCTGGTGTCTCTGGGCAGCAAAGATGCAGCTATACCTGCACAGGTGGAGCTGGAGGGCTTGGGGGCCGGGGGGCTAGGAGCAGGAAGCAGCAGCAGCGGCTGCAGAGCCCTGGTTCGGGGTGTGAGGAAATGCCCTTTGCAGAAGGCGGTGCTGCATCTGGTCAACAAGGCAGCTGCAGGGTCATCACTGCTGTTTCCTGACGCCACGTCCTAACCTGGGGAGTCATAATCGGGCCTCTGGTGCCTACGGCCAGTTGGCATTAGCCACAGCTGTGCTCCCAATGAGCTGGGTGTGAGCAGCTCTGAGTGCCTGTTTGTAATGACCCGGCACTGAAAAGTGTGTGCTCTAAGCTACTAGCGGTTAGCAAGCCTCGGGCCTGTTTCTCTGGTAGAGCTCATGGAACAGCTCATGGAATGGCCATCCCTTCTGGAAGCAAGAAGCCTCCGGTGTGCCTAGTTCCTGGGTGTACTGGACTGTAACAACCTCTTCCCCTGGGAGCGGACCGTGGACATGCTGGGCGGCTTGCACCATGGCTCCACCTCCTGCAGTCCCTGGCTAGCGACACTAGCAGTGTCCGCCCAGGAGCGAGGTCCGGAGGAGCTGGACCACTGTGTGAGGGAGGATGTCGGGCTGGTTCCAGAAGAGCAGGCAGAGGTTCTCCCCGGGGTCAGGAGTTGCTCTAGGCTAGTTTACACCAGCCTTCGGCCTCTTCCCGTGGTAGCTTTAGTTCCTTGTTAAAGAGAGAACCGTGTGCCCGGCCCCACTCGCCTGAGTGTCATCCGTTCCATCTGGGGAGGAGAGAGACAAAGGCAAAGACCCAGCCTGATGCCACTCTGCTCTGTCCCGGCTACACCGGCCATGACGGTTTTCCTTTGTGGAAAAGACCAGGGTGGACTCTTCCTCCCAGCAGGGGCATGGGACCCTAGAAGCCAAGGCCCTCTAGAAACAGGTGGTCCCTTTGCTATCTCAGAATGGGGAGGGCTTTTCTCAGATCTTCAAAGAATTTCTAGTGGATCGGGGACTGAAAGACGCTTCGGATGGCCCTTTCTGTGGGGATCTCTCCATGGGATGGCTTGATGGGAGGACAGCGGCCCTCTGGGTTGGATCCAGGCCGAAGGGTACATGATGGTGTGTCCCCCAGGGGTCAAGTACAGCCTTGACCTCACCAGACCCAGCTGCGTCTGCTTCCCCAGGAACCTGGAGGTCTGTGCTGTGGCTTGTCTGACACACTTTCACTGTCAGAGCAGGCAGGAGCCTTTGGAATAGCCAGAGGGCCTAAATCTGCAGAACATTCCATGCGATTCCAAAGCTCATGCTTGAGGAGTTGTGGTGATGCGAACGTCACAAGCAGATCTGAGCTCAACTGAGGGGGGCGAGCTGTACCCTGATTTCAGGGTTAATGCATGATCACAAGGGCAGGAACTGAGGGCAAGCAGTCAGGGTGGCCCTGCGTAGCTCCTAGGAACAGGCTTCGTAATCCACGATTCAGGAGGGTGGACAAGTTTCCTGGGAGTGAGTGAGCTTTAAAAAGTGACAGAGACCAGCAGATGGCGTAATGGTTACATTGCTGAACTCCCACATAGTCAACCGCAGTTTGAGTCCCAGACCCGGTGGCTTAAAACTCACGCAGGGCATGTGTGCATGCGTGCCCAAAACCCAGACAGAGAAGGGACTGCAGAATGGCCATACACCCTGGGGGGTGATTTCTCACTTTCTGTTTCTGTCTCTGTCTCTCTGACCCTATAGCAAAAATGTCTCTTTAAAAATAAGTGGGGAGGCCCAGCTTCTCCCTCTAGAAAGTCACCAAGTGCATACTCAGCATCCGTCCACAGTAGCTCTGGGTACCTTCTGTTTTGGGGGCGGGAGCGTTGCTTTGTTTTTAACGCCACATGCAACACTTCAAAGATGGACCCTGGGTTCTGGTGGGTGGCCAGAGAGGGTGACACCACTCTCAGATGCATGTTTGGGGGAAGGTGCTGCCAGACAGGAGGCTCTGGACGGAACCTGACACCAAGGGCGAGGGCTGAGCTCAGCGCAGACTCCCTTCAGGGAGGGCAAAGCTTAGTTTTCCAGCTGGTGGTCAAGACCCGCTCCAAACGCACCCAACGCAGGGAGGCTTGGATGGGTGCAGCTGCAGCTCTGGACCACCCTGGCTGTCCAGCCCAGCAGGCTCTGTTCAAGATCACCAGCCAGTGTCCCGTCACCCTCTGGGCCATGGCATTTGAACACAGCATACATACAGCAGCCAACCTGGCACAGAGCAGAGGCCACACTGCCTCTCCTGGCTCTCTAGGTCCCCTACAGACCACACACGCTCCTCCACCACTCCGGACTGGCAGCTGGGCGGTGGCCTCTGTTCTCTGCAGGGCTGTGTGTGAGTGACCCCAGCCTGCCTTCACTGCCCCAAACAAGCATCCTCTGGAGACTAGGAGACTCACAGCTTCAGTCTTCCGGGCGGTTCTTCCGAGAGCTCTCCTCTTGCCAGGAAGCGCTCTGTGCTCACCTTGGTCACTCACCGATTTCCAGCCAGTGAGCTGATGGAGCTCTGTGCCGGCCCTGGCAGCTTCTCATACCCACACGTACTCAGGTGCCTGGGAGTTGGAGGGAGCCAGGATGACCCACACGCAGCCCATGGTGCAGCCCTCCCAGCAGGGCTCTGGTGTCCTCCGGGCACCACGAGCTCTCAGAACAGCTCTCGGCTAGGGTGGAAACGCTCCGGGATGCTGGGGGTTAATACCAGCCCACTGACTCGGGTCCTGCGAGGCGATCTGCGTGGGCTCATTGGAGGAGCCTGGGGGGCTGCCACGCTGCTGGTCCTCGTCTTGGTCCTGCCTGCCAAGGCCCTGGGCTCAGAGACCCTGCCCTGAGACAGGAGGGGCAGAGGGTTCCCTCTGGGCACACAGGGCTCCGCTCCCAGCGAGAGCACCTGGGGACAGATGGCATGTCATGAGTATGTCTTTAGGGGAAAGACTGACCTATTTAGGGGGTGTCGCTGTGTCCAAGTTCACAGAGAAGGAGCTGGGTCTGAAGCCCACAGGACCTTCACCAGTGGTTTCCAGAGCCAAGTCCCTGATGACCGTGAGACCCAGGCCACTGACCTGGGGTAGGCCAGGGCTCTCCAGTAGTTTTCCACCATTTCCAGTAGGGCACCAGATTGCTGCTGCCGTCTGTGACACCCAGGCCTGACAAGGTGCAGGTCGGCCCAGGCAGCCTCAGGTTAATTCATGGCGGGTCCTTCCCGAGCACCCACAGGGAGGCAGGAAGCTCTCCAAGACCCAGAGCGAAGCCTCACCATTGGCTCTCCTGTTCCACGAGGCTGCGGGACCACCTCCTGGGACGAGGGTGCCCGCACGAGCGGTGGTGGCAAGACTGTCTACCGCCCATGGCTGCAGAATGAAGCAGAGAGGAGCAAGACCACCCTCCGCACAAAAGCCCACCTGTCCACAGGTTCTAGCAGTTACACTAAAGGAGGGGGCCAGTAGTCCTAATTCCCATGCGGGAAGGTGTCAGGTTTCCGATGGGGCCTTTCTCCTATGCCATCTTAGCCTGGGGCTCCCAGCCTGACCTCCGACCTCCGACCTCCGAGCTGGAGAACAACAGGCCCTGGGAAAGCCGCAATCACGTGTCCGAGCGTCCAGGAAGGAGAGGCCTTGCTCTGAGGCTAGGGCTGTGGCAGCTCCGACACCCACAGTTTAATCGGGGAGCCACCTGAGTGGAGGGAGGCTTGCTCTCTGGGGCTCACCAGGTGCGGCGGTTGTCGCTGTAGGGTGTGGAGGCCAGCTGCTGTGGCCAGGCCGCACGCAGAGTGGTGGGGTGCAGGCAGCTGGTGCGACAGGGAGGGCCACATGTGGGAGTCCTTCGGGGTCAGAGGTCACCGCTCTGGGGCTCCACGTTGCGTGTCTCCCTGAGGTTACCTCGAGACAGCTTGGGGAAGCGGGAAGCCACTTTGGGCCGGCTATTCTTGTTCAGTGGTTCTCCGGGAGGGGTGATGTCACTGAAAGGCAGAGTGGGGGAGAATGGGATTAAGTCAGGTACCAGTGCAAATGAATACAGGCCAGACCCTGGAAAGCTCGACTTGGGGAATGGAGGGCCGCGTGGCTGTGTTTCCCACCATTTAAAAGCGCTGTGTTGAAACAGAATCTTAAGACTTTTGACTAAAACATTACTGATTTTCTCCTAGGCTTTGTTTTCCGGATTTATGGATTTTTGCCTTGTCTTAAGCTGCCGATAGGTTCCTGTACCTACTATTTGAACAGAATCCTAACCCGTTTCCTGGCTTTAAGTTTTAAGCAAAGCTCTCTTAGCATTTCTTTGATTTTGATTTATTAAAGTTAAAACTGCTTTTCTTGAAATTAAAAACTATATTAAGAAATACCTGTTTAATGACTGCATTAAGCTATATAGCACCAGCGAGGTGCTACCTTACCGTATATTCATTCTACTCAGTTTCATGCCTAAGTCAGACATGTATTTGCAGATATGTATGTATCAGTTGACCTTGCTATTGAAAGTAGTTAGATTATTTAAGATATTTTAAGAATCAATAAAATCTGGAGGGAAAAAAATAAGGAATGTGAAGCAACTGTAGACACCAGAGATAGTGGATAGTGTGGGAGGAGAGTAGGAAATGGCAGAGGGTGAGAAATGGGGGGGAATATATATATAAATAAAAAACTAGAAATGGAAAATTATTGACAATAACGTATATGATTAAACCATATTCTGGATGGGAAATCACATTTTGTATTCTGTGACAATGCTCAGTGGATGAATATAAAGTTAATTAATTAAAAATAAAAATGAAAAAACAAAAATCGAAGCCCTGTGGGCCTAAGCAAGCACAGCCGTGGGTCTGAGGCGGCCCGTGGGCCACCCTTCCAGGCCCATTTCAACCCAGACGACCGTGCAGCCATGGCTTTCTTCTCGCTGTGCTGCTTGGTCCTCCCCAAAGGCACATTTCAAAGTCAAAGAAGAAGGGCTGCCTGTGGAATACTGCGCTTGGAGTCAGAAAGACGGGAACAAAGACAGGGCAGGACTGGCTGCGGAATTTGTCCCAGGAGCCTAATCAGGCCATGTGCCAGCACCTAATTAGGAGGATACTCATCACAGCGCTGCACAGGCTCAGAACGAGGCAGGCGCGGGCAGCGGGGGCTCCTGGTGCTGGCCGCGAAGCACCTACTGGGAGAGCACGTGGTGGGGGGCACAGTACGGGGCTGTGAAGTGCACATTAGGACAGAGGCTAAAAGTGGGGGTTGGGGGGTACAACCCACTACATCAGAGAACTTGGGATGTGCTGGCTCGGCCGTTTGTTCAGTGGGTCCGTAAATACTTCTCAAGCACCACGTGGGCCTGATGCCGTCCTAGGCAGCTGCAATAGAGATGGCACAGCTAGCTCCCCGGGGCCTGTGCACTCACAGGGCAAAGGGGAGTTAGAGTTGCGGGTTACAAAGGCCACCAGAACCCTAGGCTGTCGCTGGGCGAGTGGCAGGAAGTGCCAGGGCGGGCAAGGACCTTGGCAGCTTAAGAACTGGGTGAAGCCTGGGAAGGCTGCCTGATGGAGCCCCATAACCCAGCTTTGCTGTGGCTAAATGAAGCATTTTGAAATAGGGAGATTGTGCACTGGGCCTGAGGTGACCCTGAGAGCCCCCATCAGAGGGAGGCCGGGGGGGCCAGACGGGGAGTCTTGAAGATGTCATCTGTGGGTTCTGAAGATGGAGGCGGGGCTATGAGTCAAGGCTCAAGATGCCAGAACCCCTGCTGCCCCATGGGGTGGACCAGAGGGTGCTGCCCTCGGGAGCCCTCAGAGCCACTGCGCCAGCCCAGGGTCGCGGGTGCAGAGGCAGTGCACGGTGGACGGGCCTGGTCTCCGTGACCTCCGGCGGCTGTAACAAATGGCCACACGCTTAGTGTCTGGAGGAGAGAGCACATGTATCATCCTACGGCCTTGGAGGTCAGAAACCCACCGTGGTCTTGCCGGGTTAGTCTCAGAGCCTCAGGGGAGGACCCATGTCATTGCCTTTCCCGGCTCCCTGAGCCTTGACTCACAGCCCCACCTCCATCTTCAGAGCCCAAGATGGCATCTTCAAGCCTCTCTGTCCAGCCCCCGGCCTCCCTCTGCTGGAGGCTCTCAGGGTCCCCTCAGGCCGAGTGCACAATCTCCCACTTCAAAATGCTTCATTTAGCCACATCTGCAAAGTCCCCTGTGCTGGGTAAGGTGCCCATTCACAGCTCCTGGGGACGAGAGTGTGCGCATTGGGGTAATTATTCTATCACAGGCTATTAAAATAGGAAGCAGAATCCACAGGACTTGGCATTTGATTGGATAATAATTATCTCCAAGTGGTGAGATTGCAGATGTTAGCAAATATGAATGAGAAATAAGAAAAATCCGCCACAGTGAATATCTTTAAAGACTTTTGGTACAAAAGTCTTCAAAACAAACAGCAAACCTATGACAACTATCTGTTCTCTTGTCCTGAACAATCTGTTGTCAGCTCCCTGCTGGGGGCTTCCGACACAGGCCTGAGCCGTGAGCTCCGCGAGGGAAGATGGGGCCGGGTTTCGGTGACCGCAGTCCAGGAGACCAAGGGCTCCCGTCAAATGAGAGGATCGGGACTGCCCACCAGCAATTGCTCCAGTTCGGTCACCGAGGCCAGATGAGTTAAGGGACAACGCACGTTCATAGAAAACTGTCCCCATGGGGGCTCGGCACGTCTCCCTGAACAGCCCACTGTCCATGCACCTTGATGGGGTTCTGACGTGACCTGTCTCGGCTGTGCCAGTGGAGGTCCCTGTTTGAAGTTGGGGACACCTTCCTACCATGAAGGGCTCTCACATCGGTGCCGCCTTCTTGGGAGGGCAGGCTGTGCCATGCGTGGAGGACGAGACATTTGGCCTGAATGAAGCTGGATCTGCCCTGGGTCATTTCTGAAGCATGTCCAGCCTGGTGGCTGTATGTCCTCCTCGGCATGGCTTCTGGCCGCAGGCCCAGCACAGACCTGCCCCTCGCCACCCCCCACACCCCCCACACACCAAAAGCCTCTGAGGCCCAGAGAGGACAGGAAAAGCTACTAGATCTTCCTCGCTCTCAGAGGGGAGCAGCGTCTTAGTGCACAGTCAGGCAGGAGTGGGAAGGCTGTTCAGGCCTGTGCCTGTGCCACCTCTCCCTAGCTGTACAGAACCAGGGACCCACGGGCCCTTCTTAGCCTGCAGCCAACACCCCAGCAGGGCACACAAGGCCAGTATGAGCAGAGCCTGATGGGATCCTAGAGGGGGTAGGAGAGCCCAGTGCCCTGCAGGTAGGAGGAGCTGGGTACAAGGCTGCAAGGTGAGGCTGTGGCCACTCCAGCTTTTCAGCAAACAGCACCTGCCATGCAAGAAGGTAGCCAGTGTCAGGGTGAGGGCAGTTCTGTCCTGGTCCAGCTGTGCTCGAGCCTCAGCTTCCTGGACTGTCCTGGATGAAGCCCCCAGGCACCTCACAGTACTGTGGTAAGGGTCAAGGGCTCACCCCAGATAAAGCCCCCGGAGGGCATCCTCCCTTAGGCAGGTGACCTGTCTCTGAGCCTGTTTCCAGGATATCACAAAAGTAGGGAGGTCTGGGGCCTCTTGGGGTAAGTGCCTAGAACAGTGGCTGGCCACAAGTAACCTCTGCAAACGGGAGCCTTCTCCAGCCGCAGTCCTGGGCACTGAGGGGTCCAGAGGGGAATGGAGCGTGGAGAGCCCAGTCTCACTGGGGAGGGAGGAGAGAGGAGTGCAGGCATCCCCTCTCCCCGGGGAGCAGATCACTACAACCAGATGGATGCCTTGGTTGGAGAAACATGGTTGAACCTGGTTATCAGGGTGGTCAGAGAGGGCTTCCTAGAAGAGACGTCTGAAGGATAAGCAAGAGTGAGCTGGGAGGTCGGCTGTGAGAGCCCTCCAGGTGTGGAGAGCAGCGTGGGTGGGCGAGAGGCCTTGAGGTGAAGGTGCAGGCTCTATCTCAGGCATGCCGCCACGAGTCAGCGAGTCACAGAGATTGTCAAACGCCCGTGCCTGGGACCTGGGGTCTCCCGGTGAGTGGTGGTTGCGGGTGTGACTGAGCACATGGGGCACCTGCAGGACAGCACCATCCCAAAGGCCCCATGGGGCAGTGCCATGAGCAGGGCTGCATTCCCTGGGGCTCTCTGGTAGTGAGCGCAGAGGTGCACAGGTCAGGGCAGAGGCAGTTCCCATAAATGCCGGCGGGGGAGGATGAGCTTAGCTGGGGACGTGAGTGACAGGGGTGAGCAAAGAGCAGCCGGCACCAAGATGGGGCTTGGGCTGAGTTTGAGCAGAGAGAACGTGAGTGGGGACACACATGGGAGGTCGAAGCACTTGAAGGTGCCCTTTCAGCAGGTGAGGGCAGTCCCAGGCTAGTCACGGGATCTGAGGGCACGGGGGATCTGGGCGGCCCCACCTGAGCCATAGAGTGGATTTCTAAGGCCTAACTCCGTTCAGAGGGAAATCTTGGACCCTTCAGTTAGACACTGTCGACCCTTAGAGGAAGACACAGCCTCCCCAGGACTCCGTTTTCTGCCTGAGAAATGGAGATAAAGACTAGCTCTTCCTATCTTGCATCCATCATTCAACAAGATTGAGTTAGCTGAGATTAGACACAGATTTGACTGCAGATAGCATAACGGTTACGTCGCTGAACTCCCACGTAGTCGACGGCAGTTTAAGTCCTGGACCTGGCAGCTTACAACACACCGGGCACGTACATGCCCAAAATCCCGAGAGGAAAATGAAGAAGGGATTGTGGCGTGGCCATCCCCCCGAGGGGTAATTTCTCCCTTTCTGTCTTTCCAACTCGCGTAAGAAAGAATGGAAGAGGTGCAGGCAAAGTCTGGCAAGGAAATTCTGGGAATGTTTTCTGTGTCTCATATGCCACACAGTGGGTGGGGGCTGTGACCCAAACTCAAAATTACGGTGAACTTCCCAAGCCTCCTCTCATCCTTCCTTCCCCAGCACAGCCCC